TGGTGAGGAGACTTAGTTAGGGTGAAGGATCAGGAACTAACAGAACTTGTAATGGCTCCCAGGACAGCAAGTTCAGATAATGGGGGACCTCAAACCTAAATAAGCACATATGGACTCAATTTCCTTATCCGTCCAGTGGAGACAATGATAGCTCCGACTTAGATGTAGTGGTGATAGAGGGTAACTGATGTATCCTACAACATTCTTTGTCCCCTCACCCAAATCCGCAGAAGCCCTCGTGAAGACCACTTCGGAAGTTCCCATCAGCAGTGGCTGAGCTCTGTTGAGGTAAGAGGGCAGGGCTTTCAGGGAAGGGTACTTCCTCCTGCTCCATGAGGAGATTTCCAGTTGCCAACCCCAATCCTCTAGCCATAAGTCGTCTCCCTGGAGCCCTGGCTTGCATCCCGGCGCCACCATCCCGCCCTGATTTCCCACTTGTCCCTACCAGACACTGCTGACAAACCACCCTGCAGGCCACATCCTGGCTGCCTTGACGTACCTGGCTGCAGAGCGGGAGACAGAGCTCTGGTCCCGGTGTGGTGGGGATGGGCTCAAAGAAGAGGTGATGTCCAGGTGGGCGGTGAATGTTGTTATAGCTAGGAGTGGGCAGCAGCCTGCGATTGGGGTGGGACTGAATGCCAGCCTATAGAGGGAAGGAGAAGACTGAGACCACGATACTCATCCAGACAAAAATAAAGGGCTGTTCCCTCAGCTGTTCCCTCCCTGCCCCAGGCCCCAGGCACCAGACCCATCAAACTCCATCCAGGCCCTGCCATCCTCCGTTCATCTCATCCAGGTAACCCTGAGACACTTTCCTAAGACCCCCTGAATGCCTCTGCCTATGGACCCTGCCCACACAGACCTTGTACCCCCAGGAAGGCTGGCAGGCTGTAGGTACACTAGTTACCCAGAGGAGTGCCCTCCTGGGTGAGCGACAAGTCCTGACTGGCCGGCTCCAGAGCCTCGTGGAGGAGGTGGAGAGGCGCGCTCTGGGATCCAGTGAGAGGTAAAGAGGCTCCCTCAGCAATGGCCCTCTCCCAGGAGGCTGGGGATACTGGATGTTGTCCACCCTGGGGCCCCCCTCATTTCCTCCCCTTCCTGGCACTTGTTTCCTGTGTTTGGGGTCCCTCGTGCCTCCCTAAAGATCTCATCTCCCCAGTGTGGCTGCCAGTCTCCTTGCTTTCTTTCAATTTCTCACCACGCCCCAGGAAAATGCTGCTGCTGGGACTTAGGTGCAGTGGCCTGTGGGCAGAGCTCAAAGCTCTTCATGCCCAGAGCCAGGAACTGGGGGACGCAGTTGGGCACCGGCAACTTATGCTTCGGGAGCTGCTGGCCAAGCAGCAGCGGATCCTGCAGTGGCGTCAGCTGGTGGTGAGATGCTGGGCCTGCAGGAGGGTCAAAGTGGAGGTGTAAGGCGTAGAGAACAAGAACTGGGCCTCCAGAGCTCAGGCGGCTCAGTGCTAAGAGTTCTGGCTGCACTGGGGGGTGGTGGCGCACACCTTTAATCTCAGCACTCCAGAGGCAGAGGATCTCTGTGAGTTTGAGGCCAGCCTGGTCTACAGAGCTACTTCTAGGACAGCCAAGGCTACACAAAGAAACCCTATCTTGAAAAAAAAAAAAAGAATATTGGATGTTCTTCCAGAGAACCTGGGTTCAATGCCTACATGGCAGCTCATAATTGGGACTTCAATTCCAAGGGATCCGATACCCTCTTTCTACCTCTGTGGGTATCAAGTATGCATGTGATACATAGACAACCATACAGGCTAAACACCCCTACACATAAAGTGAAAATAAATAAATCTAAGAAAATTTAAGGGGTAGGGAGGGGAGGGGTGAACAAACAACCTGGGCCTCTGTGGGGAGGGACCCAGGGTGAAACTCCCATGAAGAAGCAGGACCTGCACCTTGTAAGAAGGGGTGGGCTGCCCTGGGCAGTGGGAAGAACAGGAAGCTAGTGTCATGGGCCTCCTCGTTCCCAGGAGGAGACCCAGGAACAGATCCGCCTGGTCATCAAGGGAAACTCAGTCATCAAGACCCGTCTGAGCAGGGGCCCAGAGGAGGTAAGGTGAACGTTGGGCAAGGCTTGGTTAGGGAGGGTGAGCCCAGCCCACCCCATCCACCCTCTCCATCCCACAGGTGCTGACTCTGATTCAGCAGAAGGTTGTTCCCACCTCAGAAGCAGTGGCACCACAGAGCCAGGAACTGATCCGCTGCTTGAAGGAAGAAGCCCAACACCTGCCCCACATTCTGCTGGGTCCCCTGCTGTGGTACCATGCCAAAGGGTGAGGCTGGGCCAGCCCCGTCTTCCCTGATGAAACACCATTCACCTGAGTAACTCTAAGGCTAGGTTCAGGTAGAGGGGAGCCACACTCTCAGAAAATAAAGGTGAGCAAGAAGACAGCTGACATCCACCTTGGGCCTCCACACGCATGCACATGCACACAAAAGCAGCCCAGGGTCCCCAGACTCTCAAAACTAACCCCGTATCATCAGCTACAGTCTGGTCTCCCAGTCCTTAGCCCCACCTCCAAGTCCCTGTCTCCCCAGAGCGTCTAGAAATCAGGCTGTTCTATTAGTGTTCTAATTGCTACCCGCAGGCTGAAGCCGCTATCCAGGATCCTACCATCCATCCATCAGCTGCACCCCACCACCCCAAGGGGTTCCAGCCTCATCTCGCTGAGCCATACCCTGGGGCTGCCTGTAGGAAAAGTGAGTGCCCATGCCCTGTGACCTGTCTGCCCATTCCAATCCCAACTCTACGGCCAAGATGACCATCTCTCCCCCGCCCCCAGGCACCCGAGCTACTCCTTCCAAAGGCTGTCTCTCTCCGCCAAGACCTTCTGTTTCTCCAAGACCAGTTGGGTCTCCAAGGAGGGAATCTCCTTCACGTGAAGACCAGTCTGCCTCTGGGGCCATCCACCCAGGGTACGTTGGCTTTTCAGATCCAGCATTCCTTCCGTTTGTGAAGTGCTAAGAACCCCACACACCACAGTGTGCTGGAAACACGCTTGCTTGTTCCCGCTGCACAGCAAGCTCTTGGCTCTGGTCGGTGCTGTTCTCCCCAGTGACAGAGCAGGGAACGCAGGTGCACGAGGCTCAGTAGCCCGGCCACATGGCAGGATGAAGGGTGGCTGGTTTGCTTTTATATTTTTGGTTTGTATCTCACCGTGTGGCCCAGGCTGGCATTCAAACTTAAGATCCTCTTGCCTCTTCCTCCCAAGGAAGGCCTCTACCACCACTCCCAGCAAGAGCTTGGATATGAACCTAGAGGGTCAGATGTGGAGCTAACTAAAAAGCTGGTCAAGAGCACTTGTTCTTACAGGGGGCCTGGTGCAGTCCCAGCACCCACATGGCAGCTCACAGCCATCTGTAACTCCAGCCAGGGCCACATAGAGAAAGAACAGAAGGAGAAACAAAGAAAAAGTATGGTGTCTCACGTGGGCCCTGGAGTTAGGAGCCACACAATGCAAACTGTCACAAACTGAGCTGAGGAGCCTGGACTCTGCCTGGAGGGCACTGGGGAGCCTGGAAGCAGACTTCCGAGCGGAGAGGGAGACACTCAGGAAGAAGCTTCTGGCTAACTGGAGGGTGAGCAGAATGGAAGAGTAAGGCCTGGAGCCTAGGAAAGAGGCCCCAGAGAGGAGAAAGAAACTGAGGCAGCTGAGTGTGTGTCAGAGACTCGTGGGCCAGAGAGCAGAAGGCAGGAAAGTCTAGGTGGAAGCCTTGAAGGTGGCGTCCTTGAGATGGGGACCCTGGAGACAGGGCATGAGCTGCCTTCCCCACTGTAACCTCCAGAGCTGCTGCAGACCCAGGCGTCCCAGGAAAAGGAGCAGAACGAGGCCATGGGGCAGGCCCTGAAGAAGCTGGACGACCTGATGGGACAGGCACTGGAGCAAATCCCCAAGCTGCAAGTGCTGGTGGGGGACTGGTGAGATGGGGCATGGGAACATGGGGAACTGACAGCTTCACAGCCAGAGCTACCGTGATGGGAGGGTCTGGAGGACGGGGCTGGCCTCAGACACCGCTCCTTTCCTCAGGTGGGAGCAGCCAGGCCAAGCCGCCCTCTCTGGGGAGCTCTGCCAGGGCCTGTCCCTGTCCCAGTGGCAGCTGCGCTGGGCCCAGGCCCGGGGAGCACTGCAGCAGCCATACAAGTGAAGAGGAGGCCAGGAGCAGTCGAGAACTGCAATTAGCCTGCTGGTATGAGCCTGTTGTCTGCTCGGGAGGCCGAGGAGCCGGGAAAGGACGCCTGTTGATTTCTACACCAGCCTCGGCTACACAGCGATTTCCAAGACAGCCTAGGCTACATAGTGAGAGGTCCTATTTCAAAAATAAAAAGTATTTAACCCCCAAACTTCACCTCCCTCAATAAAGCATTTGAAAGAAAGTATTGCCTGCTTCTGTCAGCTTTGTCCTGGCACAGACCGTCAGTGCCCTCTGGCTGCCATTCTGTGGCTCTTCCCAGTTCTCTCCATGTCCTTCCATTCAAGTCAAGAGAAAGGGGTTTTTTGGACCGTACACCTTAGAGTGGCTGCTTCGCTTTCCTCCTCAGCAGATGAAATCAAATGAACCAAAGCCCCTGCCTTCAGGGACCTCGTGGCCTAGGAGAGGGAGCTAGCCCGCTGGCAAGGTGAATGACAGTATGGCACAGCAGAACCTAACTGCCATAGAGACATTAAGTAGGGTGGGTGTGTGTGTGTTGGAGGGAGACTTCCAGGGCAGAGCTTTGCCGGAAAGGTGAATCAGAAAGGCTGCAGGTGGCCGTAGCAGCACAGTGCCTTGCCCGAAGAGAGCCCTATGCAGTGCAGGAGATGAGTGTCCCTAGGGTCCTGTTTTGATGGGCTATGAATATAGCCCAGGCTGGCCAGGAGCCTCCACCACCCACACCTCAGTGTTTGTACCACCAGGTTGTCTCAATTCCTTTTCTAAACGCTGTGACAACCCAAGAGAGGCTCGTTCCGGCTCCTTGAGAGGCTCCTGTGCATCCTGGGAGGGAAGGCATGGCAGCGGAAGTAACTCAGACGGAGCTGAAGGAGTTGCTTGTTCGTATCATGATGGAGCTAGAGACAGAATATTGAGTCGAATCAGAGAGGAATTCCAAAGGCTCACTGCCAGCAACCCACTCCTTCTAGCCAGGTCCTATCTCCCAAAGGTTCACTAACTTCACAAAGCAGCACCGACACTTGGGGACCAAGTATTCAAACGCGAACCTGTATGGGCCGTTTCAGATTCAGACTCCAGCAGCGTTTTACAGTTAGTACAGTTTTTCCTTTTTATGGTTAAGTCCGAGCTATTTGTAGTTTATCTGAGAAGAATGATCTGTTGTCATCTTACTTTACACATATCCCAATAACACTTATTAAACTTTGGAGGAGGGGCAGTAAGATGACTCACTGGGTAAGGGAGGACACTGGTCTCCAAGCCTGATGACCTGAGTTCAATCCCTGGGACCTAATTACATAGTGGGAGGAGAGATCAGCTCCTGCAAGTTGTCTCCTGTCCACCATGTGCGCTATGGTATACACATGGACACACACAATTAAGTGTTATTTAAATGTTTCACAAAAGGATACAATGTAAATGCCTCACAATATTGTATTTGCATTAGAAATGCAACTTAATGCCGGGCGGTGGTGGCGCACGCCTTTAATCCCAGCACTCGGGAGGCAGAGGCAGGCGGATCTCTGCGAGTTCGAGGCCAGCCTGGGCTACCAAGTGAGTCCCAGGAAAGGCGCAAAGCTACACAGAGAAACCCTGTCTCGAAAAACCCAAAAAAAAAAAAAAAAAGAAATGCAACTTAATTTTCCTAAAACATTCATTGTAAATGACAACATTGTAGCTGATGGTGGCACACACCTTTAATCCCAAGCAGAGGCAGACAGATCTCTGTGAGTTCGAGGCCAGTCTGGTCTGCAGAGTGAGTTACACAGAGAAACCCTGTCTCAAAAAAACAAACAAAAAAACAGTCACATAAACAATCTTGGCGCCCAGATTGTGGTTTCAAGGTGCCATTTCTGACTAAAAGGAGTCAGGAATCCTGGCGAAATGACTGATTCTAGGCCTGGGGAAAGAAGTATGCAAAATGTAGAGGAATTATTTTGTGTCAAAAAGCAAGGAAGTCCTTCAGGACAACTGGCCAAGACAGGCCTATGGCGCCCTCACAAGTCAAAGATGAAGAAAGAAAAACTGCCCAGTGAGGTGGTACGCTGTGCTCCCTTCACTGGGAAGGTAGAGACAACAGATGTTGGGATTGATGTGGGGTACACAGTGAGGCTCCAACCCCCCCACACACATATAAAAAGTAGCACATGACTCCCTGTTTCTGTAGGACTGTGCCCAACTTTTTTAAATGATGAGAGAGGAATTGGCATCACCAAGGGCAACCTACCATCACGAGCTTCTAAAAGGTACAACCAGATACAGTGGGGTACAGTACAACGGCACTATGAAGTATTCTGGCCTTCACCGCCACCATCTGAGAGGAGGACTGCTGTGATTTGTGGTCAGCATGGTGAGTTCCAGGCCAGCCAGAACTACCCAGCAAGATGTCTCCAAACACCAAAAAATTAAAATATAAAAGTATGACCTAAAGCATAAATTTTCATGAGTCTATTTGACAAAATGATTGAATGGGTGACAATAGAGAAATCTTCCACTAAAATTTGTAATATTTATGTACATATTCTTTCAAGGAGGTTTAGCAAAGTCACATAAAGTGGCACACACACACACAGTTTCTGCATTCAGAAGGCTGAGACAAGAGGATGCTAACCTGGGGCTATATAGAGACCCTGCATCAAAAAGGAGTGACATGTAATTCCCTATTTCTCAAGGCTGCACTTGATGGTGTCTTCCTTCTAGATTACAGAAAAGCACTTTTTCAAGGAAATCTATAGTGGAAACGCTCGATATGACCTCATCCAAGCGACAGGTGATAAACATATGTATAATTTGTATTCTAGGGCTCTGTGAAGAAAACCACTTTACCCTCTGTGGCCTTTCCCCCAGAGAGCATGACCAGAAAAACGACGAGAGGAAAAACATCAAATCCCAAATGAAGAACACGCTACAAAACACCTAACAGCATTCCTCAAACGTGTCACGGGGAAGAAGAGCCCAATAGAAGCCCAACAACTAAATGAAGCGGGAATGTGGCATCCTGGTGAGATGCTGGAACAGAACAGGGACATTAGGTGAAACCAAAGGAAACTGGAACGACCCATGAGCCTGAATTCATGAAAATGTCAGCGGGCTTGGAGGAGCAGCCAGGAGACAGAGGTGGCTAGCAAACAAAAGACTTCAATTCTCTCTAGATACCTCTAGCATAAAAGGTGCGCACCTACAATTCCAGCACTTGGAAGGCTGAAGCAGGAATTCCTAATAGTTCGAGGACAACCTAGGCTACCAAGTGAGTTCCATGCCTGGGCTCAAGAGCCAGACCCTGTCTCAAAAACCAAACCAAACCAAACCCCAAAAGGAAAACATGAAGCCAGTCGTAAAAAAATAAAAACGACCTGACGCCTGGCAGAGGGTCAGGAGACGGACTTGGCGGTGTTTACAAACTTCTGGACGGGCTCGGAACTTCCACAGCGGGGTGGGTCTAATTGACGTTCTTCGCTCTCATTCGCCTACCTTCCCCCGTGGGGGCGTGGCCGGCCCCTTCTGCCGCGCGCCGACAGAGGCAGGACCCTTCCGGGCCCGTCATTCCGACACTCTGATTGGCTTGCACTTCCCTGGGGGTGTGGCCATACCTCATTGGCCCCTGTTCCTGGGCCTACGGCGTCACGCCGCGCATCCGTCGCGCTGGTCCGTACGTCAGCGGCCGGCTCCCACCCTGAGGAGCGAGGGGCCCGACCGTAGAATCCACGGCGGCGGCTGAGAGAAGCGGCGACGGCGGCGGCATCAGCGATGGCAGGGGCGGGGCCGGCTCCGGGACTCCCGGTCGCGGGAGGGCCCGTGGTCCCGGGGCCTGGTGTCGGCCTCCCGGGCAAGAGCGGCGAGGAACGCTTGAAAGAAATGGAGGCGGAAATGGCCCTGTAAGGCCCTGAGAAGGAGAAATAAAAGCGGTTTCCAGGCAAACCCACTCAGCCCTGGAGTCTCTAGGTCTTCCGAGGCCTGAGATGCGGCTCCATAAGGGGCCGTGGGACCCGAGAAAGTCGGGGCATGGAGACGTGCGCGGGAGGCTTTGGCTGGGATGGAGGCGCTGTCGCGATGTGCCCAGCGCCCCAGCCTTGGGGAGAAGATCTGACCTATGGTGTCTTCCCGCTCCCTCAGGTTTGAGCAAGAAGTCCTGGGAGCTCCGGTGACCGGAATCCCAACTGCTGTGCCTGCGGTGCCCACGGTAGAAGCCATGCAGGTCCCAGCAGCTCCTGTGATCCGCCCAATTATCGCCACCAACACGTACCAGCAAGTAAGGCGGGAGCTGCAGCTTATGAGTCGGGGGAACACAATGTATTGATCCTAATAACGGTTTATCTATGGGGAGCGAGTGACATTTTGGCTGGCTTATTAATTAGCATGACAAATAATTCATGTGCCAGGAACTCGGGATGCAAGGCAGAGTATATTTAATCCTTTGAAAGCATCTGTTCTGCAGCATCCTGTCTGGGAGGACTTTCTGCAGTGCCGGGAACTATCTAAACTTTCTGCAGTTTATATAGTGTTCTATCTAAACATCTTGAAAATTTATACTCACGGATTTGCAATGTAGTTCAGTGATAGAGCACATGTGTACCTTGTGCAAAGCTCTAGTTTCTAAGCCCACCGCTATCACAAAAATAGTAAAATGTATACTTCGTTAAATCATTCCCAAGTCTCATTGATAATATTCCAGGTGCCTAATAGTCAGTTTTATATGATTAGTGGAAAGAAAGAAACAGGGAGGAACTATTTAAATAAATGCCAGCAAAAGAAGCATTGATTCTGTTTGCAATTAGTAAGTGGAGTGGGATGCAGCTCAGTGATGGATCTCTTGCCTCGCATGCCAAAGACATAGGTTCAACCCCTTGCACTGAAAAAACAAAAATTATCAAAAGCAGCTCTTGACTGCTTTCTCTGTGCCAGGCTCTGTTCTAAGCAATGGGCATATAGAAAAACAAATAGAAAAGATACTCTTGCTTCTTTGGCATTTACATTTTAGTAGGGAGAGAGAGATTACAGAGTGGTAAGAAGGGCAAAGTTTTATTAGTAGTCAGGGAAGTCAGCCTTTTTGTTTTGGTGTTAGTAAAGCAAAGATATAAACAAGTTAATGAAACCATGCAGCTATCTGGAGTAATGTTATCCCCCAGCAGACAGCTGTCCATGCAAAGATCCTGAGACAACATCTGTAATTGTCATAGTGTTCAAGCAAAAGCAGAGAGGTTAATGGCCAGTGAAGAGTGAGCAAAAAGGAAAGTGGAGAGGATCAAGACAGTGATGGAAGCTAGATCTTGCAGGGTCTTGTGAGCTTCTTTAAGAATCTTGGCTTTTAGCCAGGCGGTGGTGGCACATGCCTTCAATCCCAGCACTCTGAGTAGAAGGCAGAGGCAAGTGAATCTCGTACAGTTCCAGGCCTGCCTGGGCTACAGAGTGAGTTCCAGGACAGGCTCCAAAGCTACACAGAGAAACTTTGTCTGGAAAAACCAAAAAAAGAAAAAGAAAGAAAGAAAGAAAGAATCTTGGCTTTTACTTTTTTTGGGGGGTGGGGCAGGTTTTGAGACAAGGTTTCTCTGTGTAACAGCCCTGGCTGTCCTGAAACTCCATGTGTAGACCAGGCTGGCCTCAAGCTCTTGGAGATCCGCCTGCCTCTGCCTCCTGAGCGCTGGGGCTGGGATTAAAAGCGTGCACAACCACTGCCCGGCTGACTTTTACTTTTGAGATGAGGAACTACTAGAGAATTCTAAGCAGGAGTGTGATAAAGGTCCAATTTACAGATCACTTTGGCTCTCTGGATAATAGACTAGAGAAGTGAAGGTACATTCTAGGAGATGGAGGAAGAGGCTAATAATCTAGGTAAAATGGATGTGGGAAACAGGGATGACAAGTTGGACAGTATTTGAGATAGTGCTATGGGGTGTGCAGCCTTGCCCTGAACACGCCTGATTTCAGAACTGAATCAGGGACTTGGTTTTTCCTTGGATGAGAGACAGTACTTTAGGGAAGCTGAGTCAGAGAAATTGACCCTGGAAGATATTAATAATAATAGATTTACTTAGTGACTCCAGAAGCCCCAATGAAGGGACGTTGTAGCAGAGCCTGATATCACCAGGCCTATAAAGCACAGGGTAAAAGTTTCAACCTGCCAGGGTGAGCCAGCTGGAGCTGATTAGCAACTCTGAACCAGGCCTCCTTCTCCCCAATAGGTCCAACAGACCCTGGAGGCCCGGGCAGCTGCTGCAGCCACAGTAGTTCCTCCCATGGTGGGAGGCCCTCCTTTTGTGGGCCCAGGTAAGTAACAAAGTGGGAGGGTCTGGATCGGGCTGGGTGGTAAGAAGGGATGCTCAGAGCTGGCCTCCCATCATCCTCCTCTCTCCTCCCCACAGTTGGCTTTGGCCCTGCTGATCGCAGTCACCTGGACAGTCCTGAGGCTCGAGAAGCCATGTTCCTGAGACGAGCAGGTAGGTTGGGGACCAGGACCCCACATTTGGCCAGGCACACTAGTTTAGGTTTAGAAACTCCGGCTCCTTGCCCAGATCTGCTTTTCTCCGCTCTGATGACGTCTTCAGACAGTACACACCTGACCATGCACTTCCTGATTGTCTCACGTCAGTTTGTTCTCAGTCCCAGCCCTCTCCTGTCACTCGCCAGTGGAAACCTTGACAGTGTCTCCCCAACTTTTAGCACCTTCCAGCAAGTTCTCCAGTTTGCTTACTATGCTTACCACCTTTTGCTTCCTCTGACAAGCAAATTTTGTGAAGGGCTGAACTCTTGATTTTTGTCACATAATAAGCGTGACATACTATTAATGAGTGGAGACAAACTGTTTAGAGTAGCACCAGGTGACTCACTAGTGGTCAGGATCCTTTGTGACCTGGCCGCTTAGAGATCCTGATCTCCCACCCACCACACTCAGGAGCTCCAAGCATGGCTGAGATGTCAGAGAAAGTCAAGGAACCTTCTCTCTTCTGCTTCTTTCACTCAGCTGTAGCCTTCAGACCTTCCTGTCTACCAGCCCATGGCTCCCACTCTGGTCATTCAGGTGTATATGCACACACACACAGTCATATACTGTCAGTTTTTATGACCTTGCTTGTGAGAATGTGTGATGAGGTGTTTGTTCTCCGTTGGATGTAAAAGTCTGTTAATTGTGTTTGTTAATACTGTTACTCTGTTGTTGTGCTGGGGATGAGCCTAGGGCTTCAAGTGTGCTCTACCCTGAGCTGCATCCAAGCCCTTGGCTCTTAGAAATAAGACCTTGCTATGCAGCCCAGGCTGGCATCAAACATAAGCCCTTTCTCTGCCTCCCAAGTACTACATTTACAGGCATGTCTTTTTTTCCCTGTCTTTTTCTTTAATCTGAAGACATCTGGTGAATGTTAATATTTGTTCTTTAGTAAGTTATCAAAGTGAAAAAATCTGACCTGGTTACCCTGCCCAGATTCCTAACCTGCTCTGCCCTCAGGAGGATACCATTGGTCAGCCAGGGAGGCTGCTTTGATGCAGCTTCCCAGCATTTCTCTTGGAACTCCCCAGCCCCCCATTTCCTCTGAGATACCACCTGTACTTGAGAGGAAATGTTTTCCTTATATATACTCTCCTTGGCAGTGATATTTCACACTTTGCTTGACTTTTAATTTTCCTGAGGTCCTAGCTCATGGGCCCCTTTTTCCAGGAGGCCTCAAGTCCCCTGGCTGGGTCAGGGTGCTCTGACCTCTGAGCTCCCTGGGCTGCCCTTCTCTGGCAGTACATGGATTTCCTCCTATCCTGGACCCAGAACTCCCTGGAGCCTGTGGTCTGCTGGATTCCTAGCGCTGTTCACAACAGTCTTGGGCCCACAGGAAACCCTCCAAATCAGTTTGCTGAGTGAAGCCATGGCAAGACCGCCTCATCTGGAAGGGTCCCCGGCCTCTCCTTCAGGAGAGTACCTTCACAAACACCTTGCCCCAAGTGTCCCTTTCCCCCATGACACCCCCATCTCTCTCTCCCACAGCTGTGGCCCCTCAGAGGGCCCCTATCCTGCGTCCAGCCTTCGTCCCCCACGTGCTACAGAGAGCAGGTGAGGGGCCAGGGTCATGATCCCTGCCAAGCAATTTCCCCCAAGCCCTGGGACTTCCCCACTAACACCCTGACAGATTCTGCTCTCTCTTCTGCAGCAGGTGGCCCCCGACCTATGGCCCTGAGGCCCCCACACCAGGCTCTGGTTGGACCCCCTCTGCCTGGGCCTCCTGGACCACCCATGATGCTGCCACCAATGGCTCGTGCCCCTGGACCACCCCTGGGTTCTATGGCTGCTCTGAGACCTCCCCTGGTAAGTGGGGACTGATTCCTGTGATTAAAGGTAGATTCCCCTACCTTGGGTAGGGGCTCC